TTTTTCTACATTTTATATTACCTAAAAATTGTTTGATAGTGGTATCATCATAATTTATAATACACTTATTTGATATATTTATATATAACATACAGAGTGTTCAATAAGTAAAGAAACAAGACATTTGTTACAAACAATAAGAACAATAGTAACCCGTTTCCTTACTTACTGAATAATCGATACATAAAAGTAAAGTCTTCTGTACTTATCTCATTACTGCTATTTCTGTAACAAATATGTTTTATAATGTTACTTTAAATAAACTTGCAGGTGCCCTAGAAGCTCTACCAGTTACATTTGAAGATGATGAGTATGCACTTCAAGATCTAGCACAAATTATTAGGAAAAATTCAAAAACAATTGTGTTAAATATGGCATCATTTCCACTTGCTATTCCAGCTGTTTTAGAATCGTTAAAAAACTCTGGAATGAATTTGAATCCTCAACAAGACAAAACTTCTATTTTTATTCCCATACCTAAGTAATATTCTTAACTATTTGATATATATTATTTAAATTTTAAAATTAAGAACTATTTTATGCGACCTACTTAGCTCAGCCAGTAATGCATCATGCCTTAAAGTGTAGATCTACTAGGGGTTTGATAGGTTGCGCTGAGCTATGTAGATTATCTGTCCTCTATATCACAGATATAGCTTTTCAAAAGACACATTAAAGTTAAATGAATAAAAATAATAATTTTAATTTTAATTTCGAATATTTTTGCTATAGAGTAACTAAAGAACACAGGGAAAACTTAATAAAAGGTTCAAAAGCACTCTTTGTCAAATGTAGAGATAATATCAAAGATATACAAAATAAAACTATTAAAATATTAAAGGACAACAATGAACTATCTTCAGATTTGGTTCATAATTTACAGAATCAGGTATTCATTTTTTTCTCTATCTTATAATATAAGATAAATAATAGATATTATAATTATTAAGTTTCTTCATAAAACTTCCTATTACAATTACAGTATATACTTTATTTATAATATGTTTCTTTAAGAAATTAAAACTGTCTCATTAGACTTTTTCGATGTTGTTATAGTAATTATAATAATCAGTTTATCTTTAGACCCTTGAAAATTTATTAATTATTAATACAGTAGTTTTTGTACTAAAAATAATATCATTATTATTGTTTGTTTAGATAACCATATTAGCAGACAATTATATATTAGAAGCCCAAAGAATTATGGAAGAAAAACAAAATGAACTTAAAGGCGAAAATTAATCATTTTCAATTTTGTTTCATTATATTAGATATTTTTTTCTTATTATGTTTTTGTAATGAAAAAAATAAACAAATTATGTTTAACAAATATTTATTTTGCTTAATATAATATTATAAAATAATTATATACAAAATGTCTAAATCTAACTAACAACACTGATCCAATTATCATTTTCTTGGCTTTTTTTTTTAATAACTATTAATTTCTTATACTATGTTCAAATAAAATGTTTAATTTTTAAATAGTAATTTTTTAGCTCTTTCGAAAAATGTTAATGGGTAGGTATGTAGTGCTTGAGGATGCTATTAGTATATTTATACTCTGCCCATGTTCTATAACTTTATGTACTTAAATGCTTGTAACATGATATGTACTTGTTCTAAACTATCAAAGATTGATCAATTTTTTCGTAACTTTGAAAAAAAGATGTCTTGTCTCTTTTAAATAGTGATAAATGATAAAAATATGCTTTAACATGTTTATGGTTGAATACTCTTTATGTATATCCCTTGTCCCATATAAGTGTATCAATATTATTTTTTTAAATAGCAACATACATATTTAACTAATTCAAATAATAGATAATATTTGGGCAATAACAACTTTTGAAACAATAATTCGGGAATTACGAATATTTATATACCTTGGTAGGAGGAGTAGGGCAGCGAAAAAAAGCATAATGGTAATAATAATATAACATTTCCGGTTTACCTTTAAAAACGTTTGTAACTTCCGAAATTTAGGTTCATAAGTTTTTATTGTCCAGTCTTTAGTTTTATCTTTTTCTACTTTATAAACTTGTTAGATATATATGTTGCTATTTAAAAAATTAAATCTATACACTTGTAAGAGATAAACTTGAAAAATATTTAATCATTTAAAATTCAAAAAATAAATACTACTCAAATAAACTAAAAAAAGAAAACTATTATTTTAAAAGAAATCTAGGGTTTAACAATAAATCTATTATTCTATATATATTTAATAAAAATGAATTATAAAATGATAAATTTTTCAGAATCACTACTCATTTCAATTCCCCTGGGTTCTGAGAGTTTAATATCTATTAACTAAATTACTTCAGTAGATAATGGACTACGTAATATGCAGTATTCTTAAAAGTTATCAGATCAGATGAAATTAAAAAGCTGTTAGTATAAACACAATGATTTTCGTGAATGAATGATGTTCTCTAAAATGTTTTTAATTTTAATTACTTGCCTTTTGCTTCTATAAAATAAAATTAAATTTTATATGAACATTTCAACACTCAATTTTTCAATCTAAAATAAAATCTGCTATATATTCTTAGAGAAAAAATGCATTTACAATTACCCCTCTTGACCCTATTACCCAGTACCTTTTTTTTAATTCAGAGATAAATATATTTAATTTCCATTCTTTGCATATATGAAGTTTTTCACGCTTAGTTTAATTTAAGGTTTGTAATAAATTATTTTGTAAAACACCCGTTACACAGTCACTAATATTTTAGTAGGAATAATACAACAAACAAGATACACAAAACGTGGTAATGTTAAATTTCTCATTTATATAATCCACGATTTCACATAAGTACTAATGATTTTAAGATGAAATAATTCATAACTCCCCATAAACTATTCTACATAATTCACACACATAGAAAAATTGAACAATTCGACACAAATATATATAGATACGATAGTCTGACTAATGACTTCAAAAAAAAAAAATAATTTCAAAATCTTAAGTAAAATTAATTTTTTAAATGAGCCAAAACTGTAACTTTTATCTTTGAAAAAATATGAAAGAATATTTTCCTAAATTAATTTTTATCTTCGATGCCTCCAGAACAACTTTCTTCATATGGGCCAATATCACATTTCCCGTTTTTAGAAAAAGCTTCTCTTAAATCCTCTAGAACCTTTAGTATAAGATAAACAATTTATACAAGATCATCAATTTGGTTTTTGAAACAAACATTCAACCATAAACTATATTCATCGTGTTACAAATATAATAAGTAACACGTTCAAAGAAAAAAATGATTGTTGTGGTATTCCTTGAGATAGTCCAGGCTTTCAATAGTCTGCCACAAAGATTTGCTAACAAAATTACAAGAACTTCTATCAAACTGATGGTGTACACTTCTTGAGTTTTATTTGACTAAAAAACAGTTGTGTCATACACGAAGAAACATTAACTGATAGGAAAAATATAGCAGCTGAAGTTTCACAAGGGGCTCTATATCACAACTACACTGCATAGCTAACATTCCGACTAAAACTAACTCAAAAAACGCTATGTTTGCAGATGATATTGCAATACTTACACTTATAAAGATCAACGAATAGCTGAACTAACTAAATCCAAATAAACATAAACAACATTTCTGCATGGTTGAAACGTTGGAAGATCAAGGTTAACAATGAAATATATTTATTATAATAAATATTATTTTAATAAATTATGTTGTTATGAAAAACGTAAATTAGTTTTAAAAAAATGATTGAAATTTACAAACAAAAATTTTAGTTAAATTTTAAAGTTATTTTAAATAATAATATATTCTAACACAGGAAATGTGGCTAGATGATTTTTTAAAAATGTTTAAAGTGACATCAATTACAGGATTCATTTTAAATCTATTAAAACAATTTTATAAATTATTTCTCGTGGCTTTGAAATAATTGATGAAAAATATGCATAAGAAACAGCAGAACTCTATGTAACATAATGATTGGTATAGAATATCACAAAGCAGTGGGGCGGCTCGTGGCATGGACGACGGGACGATCGCACCCCTACTAAAATTAATTGTATATTCTTAATTCTACATCTCTATGAAAAATGCAAAATTTTTTAAATAGTAAAATAATTATAATACATTTGTCGTGTACGAACATTAAAGTTACTGTTTCCCTCAGTAATACACACACGAGCAATGTTTGAACGACAGACGGCGTTGTCAGAACAATATTTTGAGACGTATAATATAAGCGAGGCGCAGCAATCGTGTGTGTGTGCGGGTTGGGTCAGCCGCAATCTTCAGTGCGGTTTTTGGACGATCGGCAGCGACGTCCATAAGGTAAAATGTTAGTATTTTACTATATTAGGTCATTTATTTTTAGAATTAACTACGTGTACACTAGTTGTTATCGGTTGCTACAATAGTGTAATCGCTATTGTTATTATTTTCATTTCTATTATCAATTGCGACCTTTAAAATAATAATATGTGTATTGTGTTTTATTTAATTTGACAATTTTTAGCTTCGATGCGAAGTTGAGAAGGTATTAATTTTACCATGATGTGCTTTTTTTTTGTATCTGTTAACACTTTTTCTCAGCTCTCACAGGACCGATTTTGATGAACAATATGTGAAAAGATCACAAATTGTATCTAGTTGAAGACATTACCCTTGAAAATTAAAAATATTTCCAGCGTTCCCCATGAATGGGGGAAATCTCTAAAAAAAATTACAATTTTAAAAATCAGTAATTTTTAACGTTTTTTTTAATTCAAAACTTAGGTTGAAAAAGTTCCACTTTTTATACGTATGTTTTAAGTTTTAAACCCCCCTGTATAAAGGAAAATGGTCCAATTTAAAAAAAATATATATCAAATAAAAGAAATATATATAATGTATTTGAAAAAAAAAAAATTGTGTTGATACATACATTTTTTAAAAAGTTATAGCAATTTAAACTTGAAGAAATAAAATCGAAAATCAAACATTTTAACACAAAAATAGCATGTTTTTAGCTACGGCAGCCGTTTGCACGTAGAAGATAAGGTGTCAGGACAATTATTTTTTTTCATTTTATAGTACACGACATAAGCTTTAATTTGATATATGTTTAAAGGATGCAGTATTTCCGGAACATTTTCAAAAGTTATGTTGAAAATCTAGTTACTGTGAAAAAGTTGCTATTTTAAATTCCCCCTCGTGAGCAGATTAAGTGTGTGTTAGATTTTTGAAAAATGATATCATATGAAAGGAAAATATCTAAGGTTTCAATGTAAAAAAATTTATGTTGATTTGTTAATTTTTAAAAAAGTTATGGAAGTTTTAAGAGAAAAAGTAAAAAAACGTCAAAAATTCACATAAGATGTTCACATTACCTAAATATATTATTATTATTATTATTGTTTCTTGTTGTTTGAATAAATAATATAACTGTTATTATATATTAATTTAATCCCTTGATTAATTATTAAAATAATCCGATATCTGGAATACTTATATGAAATTAAAATTCAGCTTATTAAAAATTTTAGGGAGAGCAATTTTAATTTTAAATATTTTAAGAATAGGTCAGTTAATATTTAAAATTGAGTCCTATATTCATAAATCATAAGTTTTTAATACAAAAAAAATACTTTAGAAAATTATTTTAAAGTAATAAAATGATAATAAAAATACTCATGCTTTTATTGGTTAAATATTGCAATTGTTTATGAAATGGTCAAAAAAAATTGTCTTGGATTAGCTTTAAAAAATAAAAAGTAGACTAAATATTATAAACAAATTGAAATTTTCATCCTCCATTTATAAACAAAATAAAGAAAAAAGATAATTAAATAATAAAAAATGTACNAATTAATAATAAATTGAAATTTTCATCCTCCATTTATAAACAAAATAAAGAAAAAAGATAATTAAATAATAAAAAATGTACTAAATTTATTAAAGATAAAACAATTTTTTATAGTGTAAATTAAAATTAATATATAATAGAAAAACAAATGTGTTATTATAATTTACTTTAGAATTGAAATTAAAAGATAATAATAATATTAAAATTGTTTACCATGATGTAGAAATTTTTTTGATAAATTTTATTAGAATTGGTTATCTTATTTAAATTGCTTTTCAACTATAATTTAAATAATGTAATATATAATATATTTTTAATTCAAAATAAAATGTAAAAAGAAATTTAAAAACTACAATTTTAACAATTTCTGCTAAAAAAAAAGAAATACTATTACAGAAATAATATTATAGTAAAAACGGTAATTGAAAAATGTATAACAAATATTGACCAAAAGGATGACATAAAGAATAGCATATATTTTATTATACAATTTACAATACTTATAG